GTCAGAGTGACTCAGCTGACTTTGACTCTTTCTCATCGTTTATTTTATTGTTCAGCAGCTCTTATTGGTGATCAATATGAAAGGGGCGTGGCCAGAGGTGGCATGGGCCCTCCTTGGGAATCCTTTTGGCCGACCTAAAATCCCAAATAGTCATTGCCAGCACAAGCAGAAGTTTCAACTTAAATCTTAAACCTATAGCTCCATAGGTGTGACATCCTCCGTTAACAGAGTCCGGTTGTCATGGCGACGGTGACTTGGAGGATGAGGAGGAGCAGATGGTTCACTGGCTGTTTGGTGTCAACAGTGTGTTCTGTGATAGATTCAGTTTTTTACATGAGCCCACATCGTTTCATCGTCCAATCAGAGAGGACTGTTAAATGACCTCGTTGTAGTGACAGTTTTCACCACTAGATGTCACTGTTGTTATTGTTCACCAGCTGTAGATGAAGGCTGCAGTTCTCCTCTCATCATGAGGCTGAGTCACATCGTACAAACATCAGAGTAGAAGGTAGAATCAGCAGCAAGTAAAATACAGACTTCTCCTAAAGTAAAGCCAGAGTCAGCAGCTTGTTCCTTCAAAATAAAATACAGACTTCTCCTAAAGTAAAGCCAGAGTCAGCAGCTTGTTCCTTCAAAATAAAATACAGACTTCTCCTAAAGTGAAGCTAGCTGGTTCCTTCAAAATAAAATACAGTCTTCTCCTAAAGTGAAGCCAGAGTCAGCAGCTTGTTCCTTCAAAATAAAATACAGACTTCTCCTAAAGTAAAGCCAGAGTCAGCAGCTTGTTCCTTCAAAATAAAATACAGACTTCTCCTAAAGTAAAGCCAGAGTCAGCAGCTTGTTCCTTCAAAATAAAATACAGACTTCTCCTAAAGTAAAGCCAGAGTCAGCAGCTTGTTCCTTCAAAATAAAATACAGACTTCTCCTAAAGTAAAGCCAGAGTCAGCAGCTTGTTCCTTCAAAATAAAATACAGACTTCTCCTAAAGTAAAGCCAGAGTCAGCAGCTTGTTCCTTCAAAATAAAATACAGACTTCTCCTAAAGTGAAGCTGGCTGGTTCCTTCAAAATAAAATACAGTCTTCTCCTAAAGTTAAGCTGGCTGGTTCCTTCAAAATAAAATAGTCTTCTCCTAAAGTGAAGCTAGCTGGTTCCTTCAAAATAAAATACAGTCTTCTCCTAAAGTGAAGCTAGCTGGTTCCTTCAAAATAAAATACAGTCTTCTCCTAAAGTGAAGCTAGCTGGTTCCTTCAAAATAAAATAGTCTTTTCCTAAAGTGAAGCTAGCTGGTTCCTTCAAAATAAAATACAGTCTTCTCCTAAAGTGAAGCTAGCTGGTTCCTTCAAAATAAAATACAGTCTTCTCCTAAAGTGAAGCTAGCTGGTTCCTTCAAAATAAAATAGTCTTTTCCTAAAGTGAAGCTAGCTGGTTCCTTCAAAATAAAATACAGTCTTCTCCTAAAGTGAAGCTAGCTGGTTCCTTCAAAATAAAATACAGTCTTCTCCTTCAAAATAAAATACAGACTTCTCCTAAAGTGAAGCTGCTCCATTGTCCCTTCTGGGCCTCCGTACATGTGAGGTGGTGACTGTGTCTGCAGAGACTCTGTCCTCTGACTGGATTTTACTGTTCTGATTTGTTCTGGTTGACTCGGGATGTTTCTGGGCGGAGCTGGTGTGTTTCCTCCAGCCAATGACAGCGCAGCAGGTGATTTTAGGAGTGGATACAGTTCAGTGATTGGACGCCATTCAAAGCGGTGAATATGACGGACGAGGACGTAGCAGCAAAGAAGAGAAAACATAATGAGAGTGAGGAGAAACACCAAGTGGATAAAGATCGTTCTAAAACGAGGGTGAACCTTGTGTTGGACGTGGAGTTGATCTACTTCCTGTTGGACAGGAAGGTGACAAACACCAGCGGTTAGCTTGTGCTAGCATGCGTTAGCTTACAGTGTAGGTACAAGCAGTAAAACGTACACACTATGACCTGCAGGGGGCGGAGCTTCAGGAGCCCAGTTTGAATGTTTACAAACATTTCTACTGACTCCTCCTTTAAAACCTTCTGATGTAATGTTTTGGTTCGTTCGGAGGTTACGCTCTACTGCGTCTCCGTGGTAACCAAACTACGACATGTTCAGTGAGGACGTCACAGCTTTCAGTTTCACACAGAACGTTTTAATAAAAAACAAAGTGCAGGCCGGTTGAACAGATTCTCAGAAAATAAAAGTATGGACGTCCTCTTCCTCTCCTCAGTTTCAAAACGTTGGTCTCTCAGACGGATCAGCACCCAGCATCAGGACCGAACTGCTCCATGGTCTCCAGAACCAGCGACAGGTGATCCAGAAACGAGTTGACGGACACTCTGAGGATCCGAGCTTCGTCGGCGCTCCACCTCCTGAAAACACACGAAGAAGACAAAAGGTCAACAGGAAGTTCAGAGAAAGAGGTGAACACGTTGTTCAGTCAGAGCGTTTCCTGTTTCCTCACACGGAGAGCGTGCTGCCCGACACCGCCAGCTCTTTGCTGATGCCTCCTTTCCTCGGCTCGCGGTCCGGGGACAGAGAGCGCAGAGCGATGGCGGCCTCGCCGGAGGACGGGAAGGGGACGTCCAGAGAGCTGCAGGAGGGTCAAGGAAGGAACACCTGAAACACCTGAAACACCTGACACACCTGACACACCTGAGGAGCTTCTGATGTCTGGACACAAGTCGAGCTCATAACTACAGCGTCTCTTTTTAACGGACAGCGGACATCTCAACCCTGAAACACCTGACACACCTGACACACCTGAGGAGCTTCTGATGTCTGGACACGAGTCGAGCTCATAACTACAGCGTCTCTTTTTAACGGACAGCGGACATCTCAACCCTGAAACCCCTGACACACCTGACACACCTGAAACACCTGACACACCTGACACACCTGAAACACCTGACACACCTGACACACCTGAAACCCCTGACACACCTGACACACCTGACACACCTGACACACCTGACACACCTGAAACCCCTGACACACCTGAAACACCTGAAACACCTGACACACCTGAAACACCTGACACACCTGACACACCTGAAACACCTGACACACCTGAAACACCTGACACACCTGACACACCTGAAACCCCTGACACACCTGACACACCTGAAACACCTGACACACCTGACACACCTGACACACCTGACACACCTGAAACCCCTGACACACCTGAAACACCTGACACACCTGAAACACCTGACACACCTGACACACCTGACACACCTGACACACCTGAAACACCTGACACACCTGACACACCTGACACACCTGAAACACCTGACACACCTGACACACCTGAAACACCTGACACACCTGAAACACCTGACACACCTGAAACACCTGACACACCTGACACACCTGAAACACCTGACACACCTGAAACACCTGACACACATCACTATTTTGTTTCCTTTCACTTCTTCTCTTTTCCTACTGCACCTCCTTTAGTTCACTTCCTGGTTTCTCACTCTCTCCCATTTGATTGGTTGTTGTTTTCACTCTGTCACTAATTAGTTAGATTGAATTCACCTGCTCTTTATTTCAGACTCAGGAGATTTCAGGACTAACAGCCTCTTCCAGAAGTTTTACTGAGATCATTTTTATTATTTATTAAATACTCATTGATTTTTGTTTTTATAATTTAAAGACTTGAGGATTAATAAAGAATAAAAATCATCTCAGGACAAACTTATTAAAAACATGATCACTGAGCTAACATTAGCCACATGTGCTAAAGCTAACGCGTCATTTCCTGCTAACTGAAGCTAAAACACAACATTACCCTCACACACACGAACAGCAGCTTATTATCCAGAGAAGATATTAAAGGATACAACTCCAGTTTGCCTGTTTCACAGTTCCTTTCTGCCTCCAGAGCCGCCATCGTGCTTGTTTATGTTCAAGCACTTCCGGTTTGAACTCTTCTTCGTGTTATTTAGGCAGAACAGAGACGGACATGGTTTGCTGCTGCCCCCTAGCGGCTAAATGTGGTAGTATACAATAGTCTGAGGCAGAGATGACACAGCTTCTACACAGATCTGATCTCTGGACTTTAGTTATCTGTAGATATCCAGATCTGATCTGTTTGGTGTTAAATTAATAACATGTGTTCCTCAGTATGAAGATGAACATTTAAAGGACCAATCAGTGAGCTGTGTAGAGAGTGAGATGATAAAGGTATCTTACTCTCTGATCATTAAGGAAACATGCTATGTTGAAGTGCTGGCTTCTCTGACAACAATGCAGCAGCCAGTATGTCCTCCTTCTAACTTTAGATTCTGCTCCTGAATGCTCTGGATTTGTTTGGACCAGAGAAGGTAGGCGCTTTTAAGACACACCCCACACGGCCGTTTTGGACGCCCCTCTGTTTGTCAGATATGAGAGCAGTTATCAGGTCAACAGGTGTTGCAGTGATGGAAGCGGTCAAGAGAAGTGGTTCAGATAGAAGTGATTGTACCCGACCTAAAAAGCCTCTGCATGTTTCTAATAAGCTCCACGAGCAGAAACGTGCTCAAACTAGGATCAATATTGGAGATGCTTTTGAAAAATGGAGAGAGGTTAGAACACAGAAAGGTTTACAGACCCATGCAGAGCTGGATAAACACTGAAGCTTCAGAGTCCACCACATGGTGACCTGAGTGAGCATCCAGCCACAACACAGAAAAACATTTCCCCAACTTCATTCAACTTACATGAATCATCACACCCCCGCAAACGTTTAATTTGGCCTTAATTCAAGGGGGGTCCATGCCCCCCCTCTGGACACGCCCCAGCATGTAACCACATCATTTATTAGAAAAGAAAGGAAGCTCAGCCTAACACACACTAACATGTTTAATGTGTGTTTGTTTCTGTTACAGTTATTCTTCTTTAGGTCTCAGATTTCTTCCTCCAGTGTTTTGTGAGTGCTGTCAAAGTCAGCTGTGCGCATGTCTGCGTCTCTTCATCCTCCAGAGTCAAACTGAAGCTCAGTCCGACAGTCACACTCTGCTGCTGCTCTGTGTGGATGAAGGAACATGACTCTCTCTCTCTCTCTCTCTCTCTCTCTCTCTATCTGTGTCTCTGTTTGTGTGTGTCCGCTTCTGAATATTTACAATAATTACTTCTTTGATTGATTTATTTCCGGAGCTCCGGATCTCGACTGACCGAGGAGCAGCAGCCCTCCTCCGGCTGGACTCTGCGATCACAGCGGTCCGGGCTTCACTCTGAAAAGTGAGTACTTGATGCACCTCCGCTGCGAAGCTTCACATTACTCACTAAAGAATTACATCACGATCATTTACAGAGTGAGTTAAATATCAACTTTGTACTTTTATTGAGACAACAAGACAAACCCTTCTTCTATCAGTCACATAGTTAAAGTAGCACAGAGTTAATGACACAGCTGCTGGAGGAGGGAGGAGTCAGGTAGGATGGACCACACAATATATAATATATAAAATATATATATACTATTGAATATTGAATATTACATATTTAATATTAACAGTCTATGGTTTAGCATCGTCATGATCTTTATCATCAAACTGCCAATCACAACCATCAATCTTTAAATGTTGCTATGAAACTAATTAATAGTTAACAAGTTTTTATTGGTCTGAAGTTTCTGAAAAAACAATGTTTGTTGTTTTTGTAAATCATGAAATGTTTGTGCTTTTCATCATTTATTTGTCCCGATAACGAAATGTTTTCCTGTTTCGTTGTTTTTGCATTTTCTGCAATTCATGACATTTATTTATGTTTTTTACATTTTAGAGGTCACATGATCCCCCTCCTCCACCTTTTCAAACAGTCCCCCTCCTCCACCTTTTCAAACAGTCCTCCTCCACCTTTTCAAACAGTCCTCCTCCTCCACCTTTTCAAACAGTCCCCTCCTCCACCTTTTCAAACAGTCCTCCTCCACCTTTTCAAACAGTCCTCCTCCACCTTTTCAAACAGTCCTCCTCCATCTTTTCAAACAGTCCCCTCCTCCACCTTTTCAAACAGTCCTCCTCCTCCACCTTTTCAAACAGTCCTCCTCCACCTTTTCAAACAGTCCTCCTCCACCTTTTCAAACAGTCCTCCTCCACCTTTTCAAACAGTCCTCCTCCACCTTTTCAAACAGTCCTCCTCCTCCACCTTTTCAAACAGTCCCCTCCTCCACCTTTTCAAACAGTCCCCCTCCTCCACCTTTTCAAACAGTCCTCCTCCACCTTTTCAAACAGTCCTCCTCCACCTTTTCAAACAGTCCTCCTCCTCCACCTTTTCAAACAGTCCTCCTCCACCTTTTCAAACAGTCCTCCTCCTCCACCTTTTCAAACAGTCCTCCTCCACCTTTTCAAACAGTCCTCCTCCACCTTTTCAAACAGTCCCCTGTGGTCTAAATGAAACATCTGTGCTGTGCTTTGGTCAGAATATAACATGAATCAAGCACCAGAGGAGGTTTGTGAGCCTGTGTAAACCAGCTCTCTCAGAACGCTCCGTTTTGGTGTGTGTGTCTCTTTAAATGTAATGACCCCCCCCCCCCCCCCCCCGAGTTTTCCCCGTAGACATCACTCCTCTGTAGAGAGAATAAAAATGGCCGACCTGTGCAAAAGTTTTGTTCCAGGCTGGGGGTGGAGTCTATGGGTGAAGATACCAGGGGAGGGGAGAATCCCACTGTGACATCACAAGGAGAGCACATTTGAAACAGAGCATTTTTCTCTGTGTTGTAAGACTTATGCAGACCACAAACAAAGGACTGGATGGTTTATTTCACATGTTGTGGGTCAGTAGACTCTCAGGTTACACACGTATATGTTCAGAAACACAAAGTGGATTTTTCATAATATGTCTCCTTTAAATGTAAATGTTTTTTGTGTTTGTGTGATTCATATTTTATTTTTTTGCTTGTTTTTAGGTTTCACAAAATGTCTTTGCATTGCATCATATATTTGTCCAGTACAATAAATGTTTTCTTGTTTTGTTGATTTTGAAAGCTTGTGATCAAATGATGCCTTTCACGTTCAACAAAATGTTCTTGTGAGTCACAAAATGTTTATTTGCGGTCGACCTGCAGGAATGTTGAGTGTATTAGTTCCTGTAGCTCTCGGTCCTCCTCGCGCTCTAAACGGGTCGGGTCTAAACGGGTCGGGGTCTAAACGGGTCGCGCTCTAAACGGGTCGGGGTCTAAACGGGTCGCGCTCTAAACGGGTCGGGGTCTAAACGGGTCGGGTCTAAACGGGTCGGGGTCTAAACGGGTCGGGGTCTAAACGGGTCGGGGTCTAAAAGGGTCGGGGTCTAAACGGGTCGGGTCTAAACGGGTCGGGTCTAAACGGGTCGTGCTCTAAACGGGTCGGTCTAAATGGTCGGGGTCTAAACGGGTCGGGGTCTAAAAGGGTCGGGGTCTAAAAGGGTCGGGTCTAAACGGGTCGGTCTAAACGGGTCGGGGTCTAAACGGGTCGCACTCTAAAAGGGTCGGGTCTAAACGGGTCGGGGTCTAAACGGGT